TAACCCTAACCCTAACCCTAACCCTAACCCTAACCCTAACCCTAATCCTAAGCTGAGGTCGCCTTGTCGACGAATCGACGTATCATCCCATCGACAAATCCACGCACCGACGCACCCACACATTCAGTCGACGCTTGTCTCGTCACCACGGGCCACCGACGCACCGACGCTTCCATCCGCACGCACCGACATCTTCGCTGTGTGAGACGAGACATCTTTGCACCGTCGCACGCACCGGTTCATCGCCTCCATCGCCTCGTCGCGCCCGCCTCGTCATCACCACACCAACGCAGTCAGCCAAGCGATCGGCACGCACCAACACCATCCCCTCTGAGACCATATGTACATATACACCCGCGACACCGCATCCACTGATCGCAATACATCGTTCTGACCATGACAGAGCCATCCATCCGAGTGACGGTTGCCTCGTCATCACCGACGCACCGACGCACCCAGTCAATTGGCTGAGCCAGCTTGCTTGCTTGCCTCATCGCCTCGAGTCACCCGCACCGATTCAAGTCGCTCACTGATTTCCCTTTCTCGCTCGCTTCATCACCATCCGCAGGCCGAGGTCGCTTTGTCGATAAATTGACGTATCATCGCATCGACGGTTCCACGCACCGGAATCCACGCACCGACGCACCGACGCATTCAGCTCGCGATCATCGCATTGCTCGGCACCCACCGCTTCAGCTGGGCGACCATCGATACTGAGACGACGCACCGACGCATTCAAGGGACCGAGCCAGCACCGTCTCGCTACTCTCATGGCCACGAACCAGCGCACGCACCGACGCACCGACGCTGCGTCAAGGCGATCAAGCTGCCCATGAATCCCTTTTTTGTGACAGCGCTAAAGACTTGGGTTCGAGTCAAGAGAAGGTACCCTGGCGCCGCCCTCATGTTGCGATTGTCGGAGGAGGGACAGATGGATGAGGATGCGATGCAGTGAAAATGAGATGCGCGCGTTATTCGCGCAAGTGTTTGAGTCGGAGCGCACGCGGGGTGCGCGGCCGGGGTACGCACGCTATACTGATCTATTCTACCGGACGCGGGGCTGATCTCGACTTGGTTGATCAAGCACAACGCGGACGAGAATTGTATCCGCGACGAGACGACGGTGCGGTGCTCTCATTCGCACGCGTCGCCCGCGTCGCACGCGGCGCATGCCTCGCGCGCTTTATGGTGCCTGATGCGGTCATGTGGTGTGCGCGCCATCACAGTGAAGCGGGACGGAAGAGTCGCTAGAGGTACGGGGGGGAGGGCGCGCGCGGTATTCACGCTACGCTCGATTGGTACCGTTTCAGCGGCCCGATAGGACTCGAACAGCTCTTCCGCGCACGAGTGCGAGAGAGGTCCACAAACAAGGCAATGGGTGATGCTCCCACTCGTCACAAATTTGATCTCTTCTCACAACACGCAACACTGCGAGAAAACATAGTTCGACCGCCACGCTGCTCGCGCCCACTCGTCGCGCTGCCCATGGCTTGCTCGCGCTAATGTCGCTCTGCGTATTGGCTGCGGTCGTGTGCCTCTTCTTCCATGTAGTGCACTGCCGGTCCTTGTCTCTGTGTTGCTCGCCTAGTCTGGCACGTGCAGCGCCGCGCAGCGCGGCCCCTTTGTCAGCCTCGCGGGTGGCTTTGCATTTGGCATTGTCGTTTGCGACGGTAAACTCACTGAGCGTTGCGATTCGCGAGGGAGAATCTTCGAGTACGACGCCTGCGCGAGCTGAGCAGGTTTTCGTGCTTAGGATCAGGACGAGTCGAAGCTCAGCTTCGAGATGTGTTGGCATGTAGCCGTCGCTTGTGCCCACAGGTGGTAGTCGTCGAGTCTCGAGGCCATCTTACGTTTCGTTTGCGCGTGCCCGTGCGCTCGACCACCATTGTCATCAGAGTCGAATACCCGGAGCTGTACTGGTATCCTGTTTCGACGCATACATGCACCCCGTCAAGGGACTCTCGGTCGCGCTTCTAGCGCGGGCAGTCACGAGTGTGTCCGATTTTTCGTCTCGGTAGCGCTGTGCACCCATCGCGAGTGACTGCGCCACTTTTGCGCTGTCTGCACTCGAGGATGTGGTCATTTTCGTCCGAGGCGGTGCTTGGCCACGGTGCCTTGGTCGCATTGCCTCGCTTGCATTTTCAGCGCTCGGCAGCGTCTCTCATGTTCGGCTGCTCTCTCCGGCTGCTCCCTCCGGCTTGAGCTTCACCATGTGGTCAGGACCCGCGCCATAAGCGTCTTTTGCGTGCCGCTATGGCAGGGGGTTGCTCGCTCGGATGGACGCTAGAGCGGATGTAAAAATAGTTGTCATCTTGTCGTGCGGGGCAATAGCGCGCGCGCGCGGTTGAGCAAGTTACGCGACACGCGCTTCATCTCGGCCTCGTGTGCGACGACGCCCCGCACGAGTCACGACGAGTTTTTGATGAGCGTGAGAATCAAATATGCACGCCTGCCGGGCGCGTCACGTGTCAACCATTCCAACGTTCGAGATCGATCAAATCTGCTCGGATAAGCGTCTGCTCTGTCCGCAAAGATGATTAGAGTCCATATCCGACGAGAACGCAGTGCGTCGAGTTGGAGTTGTTACCGGCATCGGGCAAAGTGGTGAAAAGAAAATCGCGCAAAAAAAATTGCAATGCAGGTGGTGGGGGTCGAACCCACGAAGCATATGCATCGGATTTTTTATGAAAAGGAGTATGTCGCCACGCGCACGCGCGTGGCAAAAACCCTAAACTTAAGGCCGACCCCTTTGACCACTCGGGAACACCTGCAGTCGGGCGGCGCCACGCTTGGATAAAATATGACAATTTGATCCTCTTTTGCGAATGTAACGCGCGCAAACGCGTGGCGGTTCGGTGAGCCCGACCGACCGACCTCCGCCCGCTTGCTGATAAAGAGTCGACGCCACAATCTTGGAGAGAACACATCCGCATCGCCACGTCGCGGCGCTTCGGGTGATGTCCGTATCGATGCCGATAGCAACGGTTGTGGCCCTTATCGGTACCGACTCGCTATCCTCGATAACGTACTTGTCCCTGCTTGGATGAAGAGAGCGTGAAAGGGACCGCGCGGACATCGATAAAATGCTTCGTTCTTTGGTGTTTTGCATCCCTGCTCTTCATTCCACTCCTGCTCTGCTTTTACGCTAGAGGTTTGCGCGTCACGTAATTTCGCCATGAAGAGCTGCTTCGCGTTGCCGGGCATGAGGGCTCTGACGGCCCTGGCAGTCTTCGAGACCCTCGCGACGCGCGGTGCCTTGCACGCAGCGGCAACATTCGCGGACGCGCATCTTGTGCCCGCTTCGCACGTCAATCGAGCTGCTGCGATGGCCACTCCTCTGAACGTGTATTGGTCGAGTTTCAGAACGCGACCTGGTAGCGCAGTTGTTAGGGAGGTGTCCGAAAAAGCGGTCCTCTTCCACGCCGCCAACTTTCACCCCGATGCCAGGCTCGCAAGGGTGAGACGGAGCGAGAAGCATTGACTCCAAAGTCGAGCTCACAGCTGGCCTTTGCACCGTTCGACGGATCGAAAACATTGACTCCAAAGTCGAGCTGACAGCTGACCTTTGTACCGTTTCAGATCACGCGTCCCTTGAATCGTGGAGAAGCTAGTGAGCCGGAGCCGTACGCAACCATGGAGCTGTACGACAAAGACGACAAGCAGATACTCGGCAGTGGCCTTACCAGCAAAGGTAAGACCGATGTGTGTGCGTGGAGCACAACTCCAGACCGTGGCTGACACGCGGCTGACTCGCGGATCCTCGCAGGGGAACCCTACACTGGGCATCGGGCATACACGATTCCCGGGACGGAATTGAGAAGGAACGGTCAGGGTCAGCCAGTCATGTACGAGAGCGACGAGGCCCGCTCTCAGCCCAAAGTGCATTCCCCTCGCTTGACGCATAACGACTTTGTTGCGATGGACCATCGCGACGCCAAGCGTCTTCGCGATGGCAGACTGAACGACGCGGTGAACCTGATTAGAATGCCGCCGCGCGGTGCCAGAATTCCACTGAAAGCTAGCCACGCGGCAGTTCAGAACATCCCTGCTGCGCCCCTCAAGGACAATTTCAGGATCGTGCTAAAGCATCGTCAACGGCAGCCTTCCGCAACGGAGCAGCGCGCCATCAGACACTACGTCTCCAAATATCATCCCGACGCGGACGAGTTCGTTGTGAGTATTCGTCCGTGGACGTTGTCGCACGGCGGTCGTCAATGACCAGCGCTGTCCCGCATCACGTCGTTCCCTTTCTGTTGTCGCCACGTCGCCCGTGCACTCGCGCCGCGCCGCGCCCGGACTCGTAGATCAAGACCGGTTTTCGAGACGACGAGCGAGAGCCCGTTCTGCATTTGAAGGGTGCTATCCAACGAACCAGTCTTGGAGAGAGCGAATCCATCCGCGGGTTGGGTGTCACCAGCACCGGTAAGCGCTATCGCTCCAAGGACCACAGAGTGTACCTGCCTCCTGGTCATAGCCTCACCACCAGCCAAGGTAAAGTCGTTCTGGCTCAAGATCCGGGGGACAAGGCAATCATCTATTCTACGCGAAACGACATTGCCGCCACGCACACGTCTCTTCAGAGAACCAGAATGTCGACCCGGCATCCCGATCAGCCAAAGCAGGGCCCAGCCAAAAGACTTCCATGGGTCCGAAAGACTGGGCCCGTTGCCCACTCTAAGCCTAGCCTAGATGCAAAGCGCAAGAGAGTCCCGACCACGTATGGAAGATCCAGATCGGGTCGCACCGACAACGGCGCCATATCGAAAGGATCGTCTCTCCTGGCTAAACACGACAGCGCAGCCGCCTCCCCACCTGCGTCGAGCATGACTACAAATGTCCACTCGCCGCTGGTCGACTTTAGTCCCGAGGAAAGAGAAGAGCTGCGTCGGCTGTTTGGCGAGCACCCTGCGCCTCATCCCTGGAACGAGGGCCACGCAAGTCATCTTGTGGGCCCACCTTGGCATCCCGCGTCGCATCTCACTGAAGCTCGCCGCGCGCCCTCTCCGCTGGTCGAGCTGAGTGCGGAGGAAGCGGAAGAACTCCACCAACTGTTCAACTCTCCGCCTCCGTCGAGCTTGCGTAGCACGCAAGGCAGCGGGCAGACGCGTTTCCACTCCACAGAGTAGCGACTTCCTGACTTGCAGAACGTAGCTTGCGTCGCCTGACTCACCAAGCCCGGCGCTTTCCATTCGCGCCGCCTCCATTCTCCCAACCGTTGAGCCTGCCCATACAGTCTGCCGCTCACTCGCTGCGAATCAAGTGTGGTGTCATGATCGACGAAAGAGGCGCGTGTCGCGTGATGAGTGAGCTGGCTATCAGTCGTAGCTTGCTTCCATGCGTCTTTCTCGCTTCATTGCTGGCTAACAAGAAAAAGTCTGAATCATTGGGCGGAGGTTGAATCGAGTCGCAAGGCGTGAAAGCAGTGTCATCGCGTCGGCACGTCGAATCCATGACAATCGTAGATGGCGACCGTGATGATGGGAGATCCGCGATTACGGCATGCAGAAGGCGCCACCTGACTCCATCCACCCACCGCCACCTGTCATGCGCAATGCACGCATGCACGCACGCAGCAGCAGCACGGGCCGCACGAGCACTCACGACTCCAGCGAAAGTCGCCGAGAATGGAAATGCCCGTCTCGATAAACTCCGCTCGCATCCTGCGCTGCACTGCCGAGGACAAGCGCTGCAGAGGCTTTTTTGAATACTGCGAATCGTGAATGCTTGGCAATGCTTGAGTTGTGCCGCTTCGTCATCCGACTTGAGCACGCGCCAAAATCGACAACTGGTGAGGGATCCACGCGCTTCTGCTTTCCTCACCACATCCATCCCCCTCATACACACATACGACATGCGACTGCCAACAATCGCCCTCGCAGCGTGCACGCTTCTCGCCGCGACACTTCGTGTTGCCGGCAGGCCCAGCAGACACTCGCTCTCGCCACGTCAATCTGCCACTGGCTACGCAAACCCAACAGACAACGGTGGCTCGTGGCTGACAACAACTGCTGTCGGATTGGGCGAACCCTTGAACGTGATCATCAGTGGCGAGAGCGATGAAGGAGTGCTGAGCGAAGAGGGTGTCGTCGAGGTGAGTTCGACGCGCAGCGGCGGCGGGAAAGAAGGTTCCTCTTACGCGCACCACCACCGCAGTACTTTCGCTCGCTATTCTACTCGGAAGGCTCCTGCTTCAACATCACGCTTGGCAATGAGCAGGCGGCTAATTTGGGTGATGGCCAAGGCACCCTGAATCAAACGGACATCAAACGTTACAATTACTACTTGGGCGACTCGGGAACTTGTTTGCAGAGCTTGAACGGGTGAGCTGGCGCCGCGTCGTGTAGACTGACTGCGCTCGAGCAGACGCTCATCACACGCTCTCGTCGCCGCTCACCACACGCTCTCGTTTTCTCCAGCGGGCCACACTTTCGCTACTGGCAGCAAAGCACGACCAGAGCCTGGTTCCTCGCCACAAGCTATTCTGACGACGCAGACACGAACCACATGATCATTCCGAACGGTTACGACCTCAATAGAGATCAGCTCTCCTCCAACGCTACCAACGCCACCGGGACATTTTCGCCTGGAGGATTCGAGTACACGGCTACGCGGACGCAGGCTCCTCTGCTGGCAGACGTGCCCCTCGCATCCATCAACCATGGTATCGCTACAGATGGCAACGTCGACATTCTCACTGTGCGCATTCGCAAGACGGGTACACTTGGAGCGAATTCGAATCAACCCGCCTCTGTCACCAACGCCCGCGGCGGCGGTTCGAGCGGGGCCAGCAAGAGCGTCGAAATGAGCACAGCTGCTATGCTGTTGCTTGCAGTCCCGCTTGGAGCATCTTGCTTGCTTTGATTTCCAGTCGTGGCTGGTGGACTTGCAATCATGAATCTCCGTTTACTTTTCGTACACGAGCTGCCTAAAGGTGATGGACGTGCGAGGCTGGGAGTAGATGGGACTCTTTTTGCTCTCCCTGGCAATTTCGTGCGTGAAGCGTTTCTGAACGTCGCCTTGCATCACCAAGACGCTGCCGCTCTCGAGAACCAGCGACCGTTTTCTCGATTGCCTCGCCTTGTCCACGGTGGACTTGACCTTCTTCTCCTCGAATGTAAAGGTGCGCTCTGCACCCAAGGACACCGTCACGATGACTTGATTTTCCACTGGCAGGACACGAGATGAGGTCATGTTGGGGGACATTACCCAATTCCTCGCACCCTCGCACCACTCACGATTGTCCGAGTGTTTGCCAATGTACACCGAACCATCGTCGTAGCGATTGAGCATGGCGTGATTGAATCGCACCTCCTCTCCCAGCATCTCTTTCGTGCACAGCCTCTTGGCGATCTCGTCGAGAAGGGGCGGAAAGGGGCAATGCATCTCCACCTCGTGTCCGCTGTATTTCAGTGGCAATCCAGCCTCGCGCGAGAATGCAGCAATGGCACGTGACTGCTTGATCTCTCGACCATACACTTTGAGCGTCGGCCTGTACCACTGCGGCAACTCGTCGAGCTCCTTTCGCCATCTTTCGGCTTGATCGCGAGTGATCCACCTTGCCCTGAGCAAGCGCGCGCGTCGTCATTCGTAAGATGGAGCGTTGGCGCACCCGTGCCCGACGTGCTCACATGTAGTACACCTCTGAATCCTCCAGCCCGCTGACTCGATGAGCTTCGATAAAGTCGCGCCTAGTCACAGGAGCCATGTAGCCAGCATTCACGTGAGTACCATTCCGTACGTCCAAGACATTTGCAACCGGCTCCTGATCTCGTCCTTTTCCCGCCTTTGTTCTCTTGGTGGAAGCCGCGGCCCTTGCGCGCTTGCTGGGTTGGCGCTCTTGCTCCGCCTCATCGTGTCCTTCGTGGTGTCTTTTCATAGCGAGCTACTGACTCGATGTGAGTCTCAGACCGGACACCGCAGCTCGACGTAGGTACGTCGCAAGTGACGTGAGGCCGAAGCTCACAGTGGTGGGTGTGGTGTTCATTACGCAAGCAGCGCGCGCGGCTCCACGCGCGCTGCTCCACAACGCGCCATCGTGGATGCATGCGCGCGAGGTTGGGGGCGCGGCGAAAAGCCCGCGCATAGCGTGCGTATCACGTGGTGCATCTCGGCCACACAAAGTCCACGTCAGTCACAAAGTTGAGACGAATCGAGTCGCGAGTCTGTCGGGAAAGTTGACGACAGAATCACTTGAGCAGAGAGTCGCGTCTTCGTGATGACTACGTGCCCGAGTGCGCGACTCGCGCAAGTTCACCGCATCGCATTGCGCGCCAATTCCAATCGGGCGGCTTTCCGGCGCTCGTAGTGCTCGCGCACAACTACTCTAACAGCACCGATCACTTCCTCTTCCACGCACGCTTGCGCCGTGCGCGCAAGCGTCCCGACTTGCTCCGCAGTCCACACCTAAAAAGACGCAATCGACCATGCGTCAACTGTGTGCAACACACTTGCGACGACGCGGAGCGCTCGCGCTCAACTCACGAGATTGTACGAGTTGCTGAATTCAGAATTCTGGCGCATCCAAAGGGGCATTCTCGTTCTCGATCAGACGCAATCGATTACCTGACGAGACGGCGCTTCGAACCGACTCACTGCTGGATCGAAATGTGGCTGGCACGCATGCGGCAGCAATGGGCAATACACGATTGTGTGGCTCTGCTTATCCTTTCCAGGTAAAGCAACGTCGCTGGGCGCCTCGTGCAGTCCCGCCGGATGCTCCTCATTAGCCGGCCATGCATCCACAATCTGAGCATACTTGGCCTTGAAGCTCCGTGCAAAGTCGGTAGAGGTTGGAGAAGCATCTAGACTACCTCTCGCGCATCTCGTTTCTTCCAGCTCTTCTTCCGTCTTTTCCGCGAGTCCTGGACGCTTGACCAAGTGCAAGCCCCTCTCCACACCAAAGAGCGAGAGGCGGGCAAGCGAGGCTCCAGTCTGCACGTCAGACGAATAGTCCATGGCAACGATCACATCTGCCAGCCTAGAAGGCATGGAAAAGATGTCTACACAAAACAAGCAAGCTTCAGAACATCACGCATCCGCGCTCGTAACACTTGCGAGCTGGCTCACGCACGCGAAGGAAGGTTGTTGGCAAGACCGCTATCCATCAGCTTTAGCCGCGGTGCATTTTCAAGCGCAGTCGCGGCGCACTCTCCTGCGCCCAGCTTCGGCGGTGCTCGACCTCGCCAGAGGGGGTTCGGTTCGTCGGCCGCTCTGATCGGGTTGCCCCACATCTTTTCAAAGCGTTGCCGTTGCACAAAGGCATTGAGCCGCGATAGAAGGTTCCGAGCCAGCGTTTCCTCGGGCAGCGTTGCCAATAGCGCAGAAATGTATCCGCTCCTTTGAGGTGTGCGCCGCCGACCAATCAGAATTCCCATTCACCTTTGCGCTCGACCCATTCACCTTTGCGCTCGAGTTCGACTCACAATGGACCTGCGGGAGCACTCGTGCAGTATCCCAGCAGCAGGGCAAGGCTCATCTCGGGTAGTCTGCGCTTGCACTCGCCTCTCTCAAAAATTCTACCGAAACTCCATGATGGAATCCACGCTCCTTTCTCAGGCGACCCGATCTCTATGGGCGTTGCCTCCCACCATTGGTAAGGTGGTGTCTGGACAGCCAAGTCTCTCCGAACTGCAGTGAGGATGGGCATAGGTTGCGCACCGTCGTGTAGCGCCGAGCGAGAAAAGACTCTGGACCACTGGAATGTCGATCGGCTCAGACGAGGTCTGGCTTGCGGTGACCGCGAAAGGAATTGGTAGCTCTGAACGAGGAGGTCTGCTGCGTGAGCCGGGGTCAAATGTACTTTGAACGCGCTCGCTCACAGTCGTCATGGTCGCATAAAGGTCCTGTAGCAACGTGACTCTGCGTCAAAAAGATGTGCCGAGACAGCGCACCGGAGTGTACGCACCATCAAGCCAAGACCGACCACTCCGCTCCTCGCCTTGGCGATCAGAGGGGCAAGCAGAAAGTACGTCCCGCGCTTGGACCGAGCAACGACGTCGAGTGCTTGGCGACTAAGGGGATGAAAGCCTTCGCTCGCTACTGCTGTATAGTGTGCCAGCAGCTTTTGCGCGTCGTGCGAAGCGATCGTGTAGAGCGCTACATGGGTGTAGGGTATGCTTTGTTTGCGATCGACGTTCCGCTTTCACGCTGCAGAAAACGGCCTTCTCACCTGCAAGCGTCCAGCAGCTGCCACTGACACCAGCGCTCCACGCTGCGCAGTCCCAGACGCCGCCTCGCTGCAGGGCGAGCAGGCCAGCAGTGAAGCCGAATTTGGCTCTGTAACCTCCGCCTGATCCGCCAATGCCTATCTGCCCAAGTGGGCGAGTCGAGAGCGGCGGTGAGAAGAGCTGCGGGCATGTAATGCTCGCCACGAGCAATCGACGCTCACTAGCGGGACATCTTTGGGATGCACGACCTCGTCTTTGGGCAAGTCGAGAAGACGGGACAGAGATCCACTTTGCGCAACGGCACGGCGACGCTGTCGCAAGAAGCGAGACTCGATGGGGTGCATTCGACGAGAGACGCTGCGCCAAAGGGAGATTGCGCGGTCAGCTCTTGCCTGCGCCGAATGGACCCTGGTATTTCGGGGAGATGGAGCCACTCACCGCACGTGACTGTCCCACTGCAACTCTGGCCACCGCTTCACGTCGATCTCCTCTTCTTGGATGCGCCCTCGAATCTCTGCCAGATCTTTGGCTCGATCAAACCACCGGCGTGGGAGCCTGGCGGCCTCTGCCAACACGCTAGCTATGCGCTCTCCCGTACCCCTGGGTCTGTTCAGCATGGAAGCGTAAAACTTGGCCAGAGAGGCTGCGTTCGTGTGGGTCAAACTGGACTCTGCACGGCGAAAGGCCTTGATGAGGGCTGCGTACGGTGCAGAGTCTGGGGCAAGGGATTTGAGAGCAAATGGGATTCGAAATGGTCGATCGCCCCTCCTCGCAGCTCTGGCCAAAGCAGCAAGGGTGTGGTGCGAAGAGGGCGCGGACGTGGGCGAAGCGGGGGATGCGGAGGCTGGCATCCTTTCTGTTGCTGCCGTTGTGGGCTTCTTCGGCACAATGGGTCCTGCAGACGAGTGGTCGTCCAACCAAGGCGGCTTGTCACGCCCTGACAGAGCCTTTCGAGCATCTCTACCAGCTGCTTCTGCTTCTCGCTCAGCCACGTGACCTGGCAGCAAGCTCCACAATCGATGAAAGCGCTGCAGCTGCTTGTGATCCAAGTGACGCGTGATGGGTCTGGCCTGAGAGAAGGAGACGAGGCTGCAGAGGAGGTACAGCTTGACGTACAAGTAGCCGGGCGAAGTGCGAATGCGCCTAGCCAGTGGCATGATGCCCTTCGGCGGCGGCGGCGGCGGCGGCGGCACGTGTGCTGTGCTGTGCTGTCAGACGCCAAAGCTCCTGCTCGCCCCTGCTGTGGACATTGGCGTGGCGTTACTCATTGGAGGATGGATGAGCGTTGTGATGATGCTGCTGATGCGCACATGCAGAGAGTCACGAGTGGTGGCAGTACAGCGCTTCGCTTCTGAGTCGCACCAGTGTGCTACGTCGCCTTGACGCTCATACCTCTGCTGGCTGAGCTAGCTTCCGTCCGACGTTCGACGTCGCGTGGGGACGAGTGAATCGTTTTTTTTCTTCCCTACGACGGCCGCCGCCCATGAGCTGCCTTGCCTTGCCCCTTGCCCTTGCCTTTCGGGATGGAGTGTCGGACCGGGCTTGCTCGGCTCGGCTCGGCTCGGCTCAAACTGATCTTTGATGCTGCTGTTCAGCTGAGACTTGTGACTCCTTTGATCTCCCTTATCTTGAGCATTTCCTCCGCATACAGGGAGTGTTGTTGTGGTGGTGGTGGTGGTGGTGGTGGTGGTGGTGGTGATGCGCCAAGGCGGCGGAGGCGAGAAGAGGAGGCGCGCGGATGCGCAGATGCGCAGCCAAATGAGTTTCAAAAGATTCACAATTGATTCACATTCCCGCCATTCTGATTCACTCTCGCTCTCACCGCCATCCGCGCGTGCACGCGCCCGCGCGCCCGCCCGCCCAATCACCAAACGATGCTTCGAAATCGTACGCGTGCATGGCTGCTGCATGCCGCCATCCGAGATTCGTGACTCGTCACCAGTCAGACACCACAATTTGAATGTGGGTCTTTTGAGTCACGTAGCAATCAAGTCAGCGTTTGAGTGACGAAAGTCACGAGTCACGAGTGCTCATAACGCAGATGCGGCCTGCTATAATAGCTGCTGTCCACGTTGCCTGCCTGCACGCGCACGCGCACGCGCACGCGCACGCGCAGCCGTCGATCATCGCGCGAGACTGCACGCGTGCATGCGGCGCTTAATTGCTTGCTTGCTGATCGAGTGTCGAGTGAATATCCGCGGATGTGTGCATGGGCGCGGCGCTGGGGTTGGCGCGGTTATTAATGAAGTGGGCGTGATGGTGGGCGCAATCACGAATCGAGACCATCAGGGCATTCGAATCATTCGATTGATCGTCCCCGCGTCGATGGAGTTTGCATGCATGCATGCATGCCATGGTGCTTTTGCCACCCGAAACTCGTGACTCGAAGGTGTGGGGGCGGGGCGGGGCGTCAAAGGAGCGATCGAGACGCACCACTCCAACTCGTGACTGTGGATGTCAAAGTGACTGACTACTTTACCAACGTAGGGCTCGCGCGCGCGCGGTGAAAGTCTTGTGACATGTTTTTAGCGCCGGAAAACGCGCCAAGCCACAGACACCTTCTTCCTAACGGTACACCATCACTTGGCAAGCGACCCCAGCAATCGAGCAGGCATACCATACGCAAGACATTGACCCACGCAAGACGCAAGACGCAAGACGCAAGACGCAAGAAAAAGAATGCGCTTCCATTTCAGCGACAAGACATTCGATTTCGAGGCGCTTCGAGCTGCCAGCTACTCGCACAGCGGTGGAGGCGATGTGGGCGAAGTGCTGGCCATCTGTGGCAAGGTGAAGAGCAGCGCCAGGTGGTTGGGAGGAGGAGGAGGAGAGGAGGTGGGGTTGGCGGATGCGCCGCATCGCGGACGCAGCAGCAGCAAGACCAAGGCCGCTGAAGAGAGGTGGAGGGAAGCGTTCGAACTGGCCGCTTTGCGCGCAGAAGCGCTGGCCAGGAGGAGCTTGAGCGCGCAAAACGACTTGGACGCCAAGCTGGCCTTTCTTCGAGCCAGCAACTATGCGCGCACTGCCGAATTCTTTTTGCGCGCCAAATTGTCGCAAGGCTTGCAGGATGCGGATTCCGACAGGCTGCACAATCAGAGCGTCGATTGCTTCTTGAGCGCAATGCAGCTGCTCGACAAGCGCTGCTACACGTACCGCAAGCTCGCCATCCCTTACACCCACACCGTCATCCAGCAGCAGCAGACGCGCTCTCGAGCGCAAGAGAAGCACACCTGCACATTGCCAGGCTACCTCATCACCCACACATCCAACGATGATGCCGCGACTGCGACTGCGACTGCGACTGCGACTGCAACTGCTAGACCCACCATCATCCTCAACGGAGGCTACGATGGCACCAAGGAGGAAGCCTACCTAGCCCTCGGTCATTCCGCTCTAGCCAGGGGCTACAACTTTCTCACCTTTGAGGGTCCAGGTCAAGGCGCTGCTCTGCGCAAGCTCGGCTTGACCTTTAGACCGGACTGGGAAGCCGTGGTGGATAGCGTGCTGGATCACGTGCACCAACTCGACTTGCCTCAGATCGACACCGACCAGCTCGTGCTGTACGGCTGGTCCATGGGCGGCTTTCTCGCTGCGCGCGCAGCCGCTTTCGATGCGCAGCGACACGGTGGTCCTCGCATCGCCGCCCTGATCCTCAACGATGGCGTGTACGATTTCGGCAGCAGCTTCACCAAAAACGTCCCTTGGCCTGCCAACCGCATCTTTCCCGATCCTCGTTGGGATCGTCTGTTCGAATGGCTCGCTTGGCCAGCGGCCGCCTTTGATACGGGCATTCGTTGGGGTCAGCAAAACGGTTTGTGGACCTTGGGCGCAAAGAGCGCCTCGGATCTGCTGCGCAAAATTTCCCACTACCATCTGCGCAACGGCTTGGCGGAGCTCATCTCTCATCCAACGCTCATCCTAGATGCGGAAGATGATCACTTTATGAAGGGCCAGCCAGACGAACTGGCAAAGCGTCTCCTCTCCTCCAACAAGGCGAATCCCGCCTCGATGCTGGTGCAGATGAAGAGGACTCACGGTGCAGGCGAGCACTGTCACTTTGGCGCCCTCGCACATCACGATCAAGTCATCTTCGATTGGCTGGCGCGCACGCTCAAGAAGCAGGCTTGAGGCGAGGCGAGGCGAGGCGAGGCGAAGGGGGGAAAAGGAGTATGGATACATGATGGAAGGAACGAGCGTCGAACGTGCGTGCGCGCGCGCGCGCAAATGGTGGGCGGAGATTTCGCCCGCCCACCCACCGACGATGCCCGCACGTCAAGCGGCATAAGGGTAGCCGCTCTGTTTGGCTTCAAAGTCGACCATCTCAAAGATGCCCAGAGCTTGGAACCAGCAAGCGTGCTCCGACGCCGTCTGGTTGGCCGTGTACTCTGCCTCCTCGTCGCTGATCTGCGTTGGTCTCTTGCCGTCCCTGGCCGATGCAGCGTCCGCCAACAGCTGGACTTGGCAGTGACGCTCCAGAGCGATGAATCTGTGCACAGCCGACTCGATCTTTGGGGGGCGCGGGCGATCAGAATGTGTTGCTTTCGTCTGCCCGCCACCCACATTCCGACTCACCGTCTTGCCAGCGGTCAGGATGCCGTGATTGGCCATGATCAAGGCGACATTGTCCTTTCCCAGCGCCTCTGCAATGTGCTGGCCCTCCTCTTCCGATACGGCCACACCTCCAAACGAATCGTAGTGAGCGCACCTCTTGTAAAACACGCAGCTGTCCTGCGTGGTGATTTCAATGTTCCTTCCCAGCGTGCTAAACGCCTTGCCGTACAAGGAGTGACTGTGGCAAGCAGCATCCACCTCGGGTCTGGCAGTGTGAATGGCGTGATCTGCGAGCGTGGGGGGGGGGGGGGGGGGGGGGGGGGG